GACAGCGAGGCAAAATGTGCCTCTTCAAGGTAGGGCTCACATGGTCCTCTCCACTTGATCAGAGCCGCTGAATGATATGTCGCTTAACCGCTGTCAATTGACTATCATGTTTGTTCCTGTCCAGAGATGGGGGCGAGATGGCTGAAGTGGTTAGAGCACGAATTTACTGACCGAAAGGTCCGTGGTTCGAACCCGACCTCTGCCTCTCGACTTCCCCTGTCTAGGCTTGGGCAACCTGACAGTATTCCAGCCCTTTTACAACCTTCGGGTGGCATGGCAGTTAGGCACCGAAAAGGTGCTACAGTTGAACGATTTTTTGCATACTAATAATAATATTGATGGCGATGGCAACAATAATAAGGGTAATAACGCCATATTCGCTCAAATCTGAAGAGGCATATCTTGAAACACACTACAGGAAATACAGTGAACGACATTGGATAATGAGAGAGACAAGAAAATCGAAAATGGCTGATAAACACCAACAGAGATGAGAGCGAGAGTGGAAAGCGAAGTCACCATATAAATGGTGACATTGTGCGATGTTTTGTGCAGTGATGCGGAGTTTGATGCTTCTCGACTCGTACATCACTCACAATATTGGTTAGTACTAAAGTTTAAAGTAGGTGCTTTGCTAACTTAAGAATACGGGAATCGTCATTGAGTCATATTAGTGCTGACTTGCTTTTTATATCGATGATTTATTTCAGTGCTCGAGAGCTACGCATCCAACATCAACAAGCCATTACTGTTATCCAGCGCAATTGTGTAGCCTATCTGAAGTTGCGAAACTGGCCGTGGTGGCGTCTCTTCACGAAAGTTCGACCACTACTTACAGTCACCCGACAAGAGGAAGTTGTTGCTGCAAAGGAGGATGAACTTCGCAAGGTGATTTACAATTCGGCTTTATTCACCTCACAGCTTATCCTTAATGGTTTATTTTTTACCCCCTTTTGAATGAGAAAATGAATTCCAATGAGGCTATTCAGACAATTGCGCGTGCTTCGTGCTTTTCAGATGTTTATGGTGCTAGGTAGCAGCTACTTGAGAAATGCATTCGCCTTTTAGAGCACTTGCTTCCATAATTTATTTGAAGGCGTTATAGTGAAGAAAGAAAAAAATGGATGGAAAATGACTTAGTGCTGGTCCACCACATTCTGATGTGCCTACACCTCCAGACACTCCTTCAGACAATCCGGATAGAATCTGGATAGAACGCCACTGACATCGATTGGCACTCATATCGTGCGGTGTCTCGAACCTGGCTCAGTGGGGATCAAGTAGACCCCATCCTGATATATTAGTCGCACCGACAGCGCACCGACTTTTCGTAATCTCTTTTATATTCCTCTGCCATGTCAAAGGTTGATCATCTCTCTGCTTGTGTCGCTCTGAATTGGGTAAGCTGAACAGCACTCTTCGGAAAACGACGATTTGCAGCTTTTGGTGCTGGACACATTTCTTGACTGAACTCGGGTTGGCGGCTGCTGCCTGCTCGCGCACCCTGGGACTCAACCCATCAGTAGTTAGTGACAGTGGCTGACATGGTTCAACGGTGCAGTCAGTGACGCTCGTGCATCAAATCTATCGCCTTCAGTACTCACCTGCTCAGTTTCTGGTCCCCTCATAGCAGTATACAAGCCAAACTAATTGATTATGCCATCGCCTCCAGTGCTTGGCACTATCTCCCACAATCTCCTGTTTTACCTTGATGCAAACTGTAGTAGCTGGAACCAGTGCACATTGTTTATAGTTGATAAACTGGCTGGCCGACTCCACAACCGAGCACTCGTTTTCTACCTGTTCCGTTATGGATTCGCTGGTAGCGACATGAGCTTGAGATTCAGGGATATATCGCTTTGCGACCATAGATGTCTCAAATGAGCAATCGCGACCATAACCTTAGGGATTCGTGCATCAACTTCATCTGGCACACTACAGCATAAACTTATACAACTTCCGATATACGTAAAATGCACCACAACATCGAGTGCCCTCCTTGGACCTTACGTGGCGTGCTCACTCACTACATGACATTACACTGTCTGGGTGCACAGCTTAAGCCTAAGGACGGGATGACGTTGGTAAGTTCATCCCAATAGCATGCGCCTTCTCATCTTCAAAGACCAGAACAATGTGGTCTGCATATTCCAAATCGACGAGATGTCCGCTACCCCTATTTGAACACGGGTTCTGAAGACCTTCCAACATTCATCTTATTATCTCGTCGATCACTAAAGTAAATGGGAATGGAAAGAATGGGCATCCTTCTCGGACAGCACTTTGTGCGGGAGCTTTTGGAGAGTTCTCCACCCGGGATTCCGAGAAAACCAAGAACATATTGACAAAATTCTGTGATATACCTTACTCCGTAAGGGATGTCTGATAGGGAGAGGAACCTTTCAACAGATTCAAATGCACCTTAAAAATCCAGAAATACCATACTTGTGGGTCGTTCATACTAATGGCCTTCTAACACCTGACGGAGTGTGTTGATCTGTTTGACCCAATGCCTAGCACACCGAAGTCCCATTTGCTACTGTGTACATTCCAATCTTCCATTTGGATATGTGGAATTTTATCCCGCCGTAACAGGGCGTTCAAGGCGTTATAAAACTTACTTCTGATAATGTCAGCTACAGTCGAGTGGGGTGCAAGCAGACGGTAAACAGACGAAGTTCAAATTTCCGCTTGTAAGATTCCTTTATGGACGTCACCAGACGAACAGTACAGACGCTACGATCAATGGCTATTCTATCTAGTAAAGCCATTTCTACCCGGTGATTCAGGACGATGCGGACCCCTGTACATTCTACCGCAGTGGCTTCTGTCTGGCGAGACTGGCGCAGCCGAAATCGAATGGAGGGTGATGGGGCAGTTAACTCAATCATTGTGCTTGCTACATTCTACCGCAGTGGCTTCTGTCTGGCGAGACTGGCGCAGCCGAAATCGAATGGAGGGTGATGGAACAGTTAGCTCAATCATTGTGCTTGCATCTTGAGTTTTTGTTTCTGGAACGCACCACACATCAATGTCAACCGAGTGAGAACAAGAGCAGTTGGTTGCCCTGTTTACTTCAAAGTGAGAACATTAAAGGCAGCCGGATAGACTGGGCGTCGACGCCTGAAGGTTGATTTCAAGGTGCCTGAGACTATCGGCATCGCTAAATTTTCTTTCGTGAGAGGACGGATTCTCTCAGGCTTTCATGTAGGAAATAAAGTTGTTGTCATTTGGAAGCCTGTCGTCAGGCTAAAGTCTCATAAAGGCTGTTGGAGTTTGTTGACGTGAAGATTTGCGGTCAAGACCGATGCAAGTTGAGCGAGGAAGTCAATCTTACGGTTAGTTTACTGCAATCCAAATCCAGAGGTCGTGTAGTACAGCACCGTATGGAAAGAATCCTTGTTTCGGGTTCTGGATTTCAACCTGAAAACCATCAATCCATACTAGAAGGCCCGGAACCCTTCACAGTTATTCTGTCGACAGATGGTATGCAGTGTGTGCGAAGATCTAGGAGTAGGTAAGGGTTGAACAACCAATTCAGTTGCGATGAAATTAATGCATCCGTAGTCCGATTTTACACATTTACTCATTCAGTGTTGCTTACGTTGTTTCCCTCGTGCGTTCCCAATTTCTACCACAGGTCCGTGAAGCACTTGAGAAAATAACCAATGACCTCGCTGAGTTGCAACGTTCTTACGAGAAGCTAACCAAAGAAAGGACTCAACTACAAGCCGAACTCGAACAGGAACACGAGTCAAATCAAAATATTCAGGCGGTAAGTTGCTTGCCACTTTCTCTACACTGCAGCATTATATGTCATGTGGTATATTCTATGAGTTCGCTGGAAATAAACTAGACTGATTGCGACTCCATCTTGCCGATCGAATTATGGACTGCAATTAAGGAAAATGATGAGTGTTTAGCCTAACATACTGACGTCTACCAAGCAAAACTGGTGAACCATAAGGACCGCTTCTATCTACTTTCGCACTATTCATTTTCAAGCTCAGTACAGTGGCACTATATGAAGTATGGGACAGTGGTCCTTATTTCCCACTTCTCCGTAGTACCGGCTGGATTTCTGGTATTGTATCTGTCTATGTTTCTAGCTTAATCAAAATTTGCTAACCTCATCAGCATTGATAGGTAAACGATCAGCTCTCCTTTTCATTGTTTTCTTCCGAATTTCCAGGAACGCCTCAGATTGCTAGAAAGGATCCAGAACCTGGAGGATGAATTCCTGGAAATGGAAAATAAGGGAGTGGACGAGAAGGTGAAACTTCAGAATGCCGATTTGGAAATCAAACGACTAAAGGAGCAAGTGCGTTTGTCCCCCGAAACTCGTTCTTCTTCTTGGTTTCTGTTGTTGTCAATCTCGCAGATAGCCGTCTATCGTACTCTGAGAGCTAATAAAGTCATTTTTGTTGCCCGTATTCTTAGGCGATAATCGTGATAAATTTCCGTTTATCACGAATTTTTTGCGCGTACTGTACAGGCAACTAAATATTCCCCGACTTTTATTCACCATATCCATCGAACGTAGGCACCGATTCTTAGCTCAGTATTTTAACCTTTTCCATCTATAGTCAAATTCACGTACCCCCTTATATACGTCTTAAAGGACACCAATCTTGAACAACCCCAGTAGTTCCCAGGAGAACCGTCTCGGAACGGATAACTTGGTTGGTCCTCTCAGGCGTTCTGTCCAGCATTCTATGCGATAGTTTTATTCACGCCCCCTAAACTTGAACCCCAACGGGATCCGTCACGTACTATTCGACTTTTAGGGTTCATTTACTCAGCCTCATATTACAATAGACCTATGAACCCGAATTCACATCGCAGGCTGTTTTCTTTCTCTCTCCGTTCCTATCCATCTAGGTTGCAGATCTTTCTGACCAGTTGGAAGCTGAGGAACAGCAGCGGCAGAAACTCCAAGTTGAAAAGAGTTCTATCGAGCAACGTATGACGCAGGTTAACACAGAAAACGTTAATTTAGAAGACAAATACAATAAACTAGTCAAGGATAAGAAGGTGCTGACCGATCGTGTTGCAGACCTGTCAAGCCAACTGGCCGAGGAAGAGGAACGTAGCAAGCAGTTGCTGAAACTAAAGGCCAAACAGGAAAGTTCAATACAAGATCTGGAAGAACGTTTGGCTCGTGAACAAAAGGCCAGGCAAGATTTGGACAGATCGAAACGACGACTTGAGTCCGAAGCCGCCGAACGGTCCGATTTGACTGTCGAGCAACAGCGTAACTTAGAAGAACTCAATGCTTTGGTCAGTAAACTAGAGGCTGAATTGTCTCAACAGCAGTTGCGCTTGGACGAGGAGATTGTGGCCAAGACCATTGCAGCGAAAAAGGTACAATACTTCCCTACTGATGTTGCCACTGGGCCGTAGTGCGGGTGCTTATTGGTTGTTTATATGTTTCCCGAGCTTGACGACTGGTTTGCAAGCGCTACGTCACTAATTAACGAGATCTGGTTACCCACGCTACCTCACTTTGATGACGAAATGCTAACAAGCCAGTTGTCAAGCTCAATGAGACGAGATCTGGTTACCCACGTCACTTTGGTGACGAAGTGCTAACAAGCCAGTTGTCAAGCTCAATGAACAGGTTGCCAGCCATTCGATCAGTAGGTAACAGTGTACCTTTTGTTTCCACTGAGGAACATAGACCGTAAAGCTTGCAATATCACTTCATCTTTCTGTGGATTGTTCCTACATCTGTCCTGTATTGTTATCCGTCAACTTCGATTGTATTGGGTTTGAAAGAAATAGTGTTGTATGTTCTGCCCCCCTTAGATTCTTTTATGTCGGAAAAGAATGCTGGTTCTTTGCTCATACCCTGTATGAGGTCCGTTGAATCATTACACAGTTGCTTGTAACTGAGGATTTTGTTGCTAGTTACGATTCCAAGTCAAGCGGGTGTTCGGATTTTCAAGTGCGGTGACTGATAATATTTGTGTAACCCTGATGGGCATGACAACCGTTGACATCCGCACGAGCAAGTTTTAGTCAGCAATTCACAGCCACACTATGATGTACTCAGAAGTTATTTTGGGGTTCGAAGTTTGCTTAAGGTTCGTGCGAACGGCAGCGCTGGGTGTCCGCGAAAAGTTTTCCCCTACGTTCCTGTTCTTCAGTTGATTCCAGGTTTATTAATACAGTTCTTTTGCGTAGTGTTTCAATGGCCAACCAGTTAACTTCTAACATGTCATCACTTATAATGTCCAGATCCGTGAGGATGAATCCCTTATTCAAGAATTAAAGGAAGATCTCGAATCCGAACGCAAGGCACGTGACAAGGCCGAAGAAGCCAAGCGAGATTTGACTGAAGAAGTGGAGGCTATGAGATTGGAACTAATTGATAGCGGATCGAATACCGTGGCTCAAACAGAGGCCTTGCACAAATACGAGGCTGAGGTATCCAATTTGCGCCGACAGCTGGATGCTCAGAGCTCGTGAGTTGCGATTCTCATAGACGTGTTTTATTGACATTATAGATCCGCAAATATTCAACAGACCCATTACATGCTGCTTATTTTTCGGTTGTTCCTGTGTGATCAGCTGCGAATTTATGTTTGCTTTATACTTGCTTCATAGTTTTTTTTTATGCCACCACTAGCGGAAGTTATCCCGTAATAGCCGGTTTCACAATCAATAACACCTTGGTTTTTTTTGATGTGGCACAGAGTACAGTGATCCTCGTCAAAGACGATCTTGTGAAGAGGTGTTCCCGTCAAGAAGAAAACATGCACCTGCGTTCTTGTCTTTTGCATTATGAAACAATTGTGAACCCATTCCCAAGAGCAAACAACAAGGACCGAACAATCTTAAAGTGTTCCCATTTGTGTCATTGTTCGGAACAACCAGTAAAGCTGCAATGAGTAGGCCCCCAGCGTTGTTTTGGTAGTCATACTCGATCAGGAACTCATTCCATAACACATTTGTTTTAGGTTAGCTGTTGCTGATTTTCAAAGCGTTATAGCGTGTGTTTTCGGTAACCCGAAATTAGCGTAGTAGTCATCAGCTTTTCTGCGACGATTTACACCAGTTGGGGAGTAGTCTGTGCGTTTCGCTCTTAGGTCCAAGTCGTGTTCTTACTGGTTCATGCATGCTTTCCAGCACCGTTGTTGATTCTTCATGTCATTTGACGCTGTATATCAGACGGCTACACACTTGAACCGTTAAAGTGTCCGGCATCTGCAAACTCCCATCTCACTCAGACTCCCCGGTTAACAGGGTTATGAACAACATAACACGTTTGGCTACGGGTGTGGAATCATGGTCGAATGAGAGTTGTCACAGTTCCGCATGGTGAACCTTTTTTTGTTTTGTGTTGCTTGTATATTTTTATTTCTAATTTGTAATATGATCGAATGCAGGTTAGATCGCTCTGCTTGAAAATACATTTATTCGCGTAGATTTATATTGCTCAGTTCTCTCCATCTTTCGTTGACGTTGCTTCTCTTGTTTTACAGAGCACACGAAGCTGCAATTGTGGAGTTACGCAAGAACCATACTCTCTCGCTAGATGCTGTGACAGAACAATTGGAGCAAGCTAAAAAAGCCAAAGCAGCCCTCGAAAAAACTAAGTCGCAACAAGATGCATCAATTGAAGAGCTCCAAAAACAAGTCCAAAGTCTTCAAATGGGCAAGTACGTGCTTGTGGTAACATCAATATGTCGTGTTCACTGTGATCCTGTCAGCAATCACTATAAGCTGAGAATCAGAGCCTTTTTCTTCGAAGGGATTTGGTCAGCATGGCGATTCGACTCTGCTTAGCCTCAAAAGCGCTCCTAGTCTGGCTATGGTTTCCTGTGTATGTTGGACGCAGCAACCGTTCATTAACCCCACCTACATATTGCGTCAACCTTCCACATTTTTGTTTCGCCCAGTTTCCTGTTTTTTTTTCGGTTGCTCACTGCCCAGATTTATTTATGCTTCTTTCAACCGTTCCTGGGAGCAACGATTGATCAGCAAAAATGCTATCCTTCAGAGCCAAATATTGCCTTGTGTCTTCCCTTTCAGATCGGATCTTGACAAGCGCCGCCGCCAAGGTGAACAGCAACTCAACGAGGTTCAAATCCGCCTTCAAGACCTGGAAATACAAAGAAATGATTTTGACAATCGTTTGACAAAGGCACTTGCTGACCTGGAGGCCGCGAACAGCACAGTAGAGGAATTAGAAGCAAAATTGACCCGTGTTTCGCGTTCGGAGTCGGCTGCCGTGGCGGAGCTTAATGAAGTACGAGTCCGGCTAGACGATGAAACAAAGGCGAAACTGTCACTCCAGTCCCAAGTTAGACAATTGGAAGATGAGCGAGAGGGCGCCAAGGACGCTTTGGAAGCTGAAGAGCAAGTTAAAGCAGCCCTAGAGAAGCATGTACACACACTGCAACAACAGGTTCGTTGTCTCTTCTCTGTGAATATTTTTATTTCACAACATTGGCAAAATTTGGACAAGTACAAAGTTCTTAGACGCAGAACTGTTGGTTACGTTGTATTGACGAAACTTTAACTTTGGGCACTCATACCAGTAAAATCAACGAAAAATCAGTTTGAATGAACGGAAAACACCTGTGAGTAAAAGCTGATCACGTCCATTTGCACCAGTCGACCGGTGAATAGTCATTATTTGTGTTATCTTATGAATGTTTTGATTTCTTCACTCTGTGTTTTTAAAGGTTTACCCAGCTCACCTGAGGGTCTGTTTTTGTCACACATACAGCCTGAAACATCAAGGGGCAGGCTTGTAACAGGGTGAATGGCCTCTTAAGTGAGGATGCAACTGTTATGCTGTTCTTAAATGTGTCTATGATATGTTGTTCCGCACATCCTCCGATTTAGATTGTCCGGACTACCCTGTTTTCTCTTTGTTCGTATGAAATCATGGAGGTACTGAAATGAAATTTGGCTAGAATTACCTTAGGGCCCCCACGAGGCTGTCTGCGGACGTACCTTCTATTACTTCTTCCTTTGGACTCGTATTGATAGGTGCTCTTGTGGGTTTCGGCTGCTATGTTCTCATGTCATCGTTTGACTTTGATGTACTTGAATCACACAGACCTTACTTCGGCATACATCTTGCATCTCTCGTAACTGTTCCTCTCATCTTTCGTTGTTTTCAGATGCAAGATGCGAAAAAGAAAGTGGAAGAAGATGTTCATCATATGGAGCAGTTGGAAGATGCTCGGAAAAAACTCATCCGTGAATTGGACGCATCGAATAATCGAAATGAAGAGTTGGTGGCTCAGGTTGAGAAACTAGAAAAATCAAGAAAGAAACTTCAGGGCGAGGTAAAGTGACGACGTCTTATCTCTTTTCCGACTGTCACTGAATGTTTTGAAGGACTGCTCGATTCTCTTTTACATTTGTAACTAAGTTTCCTGCAATAATTGAGAAATCTGAAGTTAAGGGATAGTTTTTCAGTATCATATGCGCTCATAAGGCTCAGGAACCACGGTCTCTGCTGTCCAAACTTCAGTTACAATGTGTTCTTGCTCTTTTCTACACATTTATTGTATATTTCAAAGTGCTAGTGGTATTTTCCGCTTAGCTTATGGCTAACTTACTCGTACCCCAGCCTGTGCTTATCACATCTTCCACGGTAATCATGCGAAGTCAGAAATAACCACTTCATTGACTTCAGGTAACCCAATTTTCTAAGTCGGCGTCCGGGTCGAACCAAGACAATCGCCATAATGGTTTTCTCTGTCAAATGTCCCGTCCAACTGACCGACTTCTCAATTAGTTGATAGCCCAGTTGTCAGGAACGCGGTTATGTGTTGTTTTTCAGTGGACGTACTCACGTTTACGCGTGGTCCTCTAGGTGATGTTCTGTCCTTCGAAGTTTCGTTTGGTGCAATTTATCTTTCAGTACTGATTTCTTTGGTATACTTCTGAATCCATCACAGCTTGAAGATGCTAACCATGCAATGGCTAGTCAGCGCTCAGATCAGGCCAACAATGAGAGGAGAGTGAAGAAATTAGAGGCTGCCAATGCTGAGCTTACCGCCCAATTGAACCAGCTTCAGGCAGAGAAGGAAGCATTCGATCGTGAGATGCGTGACCGTGACACACGACTTCTGATGCACCGAAACGAAAACGAAGATCTCAAGGAACGGTTAGAAGAGGCTGAACGTCAACGCGGTATGCTTGCCCGGGAACTGGAAGACCTTGGTTCTAACCGCGATGATGCGGGCAAAAGCATGATCGAGCTGCAACAAGCCAATTATCAACTAGATCAGCAACTCAGAGAAGCGAGACAACAACTAGAAGAGCTTGAAGATGAGGTGTCTACCGTAATTATGGAGAAACAGCGCACCGAGGTACGTTTTGTTCAGCTTTGTGAGTAGGTTTACTGCTGTGGGCCACTTGAGTGCATCATGTTCATCCCAGTGTTATATCCACGCACTGAAAATAGCTATGAACTTTACGTCTTGTTATTGCAGGTCCAACTGAACGCTTTGAAAACGCAACTGGAACGCGATTTAGCGTCTCGCGATGAATTGCTAGAAGAACAACGACGGCAAACCTTGAAGCAGCTACGCGATCTTGAGGCTGAATTGGAGGATGAAAGAAAGCAGCGCGGAAGTCATCTAGAGGTACGCAAAAAGCTGGAGAGCGACCTTGCCGAAGCAACTCAGCGTCTTGAGTTGGCCAGTCGTCAGAAGGATGAGGCTTTGAAACAGTTGAAGAAGTTCCAGAGTGTCGGCGGGAGTATGCAACGTGATATGGAAGAGGCCATACGTTCACGGGACCAGGCTTTGGAGTCACTACGAGATATTGAAAAGAAGTGGCGGACCGCTGAGGCAGAACGGAATCATTTCCAAGAAGATTTACAAGCATCAGAACGAACGTGTCGCGCCATTCGTTCGGAATTAGATGAAGCTTTGGAGGAACTGGCGTCCACTACATCAGCGAAGTATGTTTTTGTTTTATTCTTCATTACCACTTCCTACAAACAGTATTAGGTCTTTGGACAAATGCGAACTAAAACTTCCAGAGTTGTGTACAGTACCAGTACAGTGCTACTTGTTCGCTCTTGTCATATATGAGAATTTTATGGATCGTTGAAGGTTAGCATTTGCCTAATCTGATGCAAAAACATTCCTATCATTCACAACACAGGAACGCTGCTGTGGAAGAGAAGAAGCGGTTGGAGGCTCGTATTGTGAGTTTTGAGGATCAACTGGAAGAAGCCCAGAATGGTATGGATGCTGCCGAAGAACGTTTCAAACGTTCCCTCGCCCAGTTGGAGCAGTTGCAAACGGATCTAAGCACTGAACGCAACAACGCGATGAGGGCCGACTCCCAACGCGTATCCCTTGAGAAACAGGTTAGTGTTGGGCTTGAACATTCCACCCTTTTTCTAAGCTACATAATTGGTCCGGAGGTTATCACTCTTATGTCGTTTTGCTTTCTCCAGGTGAAAGAATTGCGAGACCGTTTGGCTGAGGCAGAGAAAGATAGTGGTCGCCGAAGTAAAGCTCAGATCGCCACGCTCGAGGCGCGGATAGCGGCATTCGATGAGCAACTGGAAACTGAGAAAAGCGAGAAAATGGCCGCTACCAAGAGCTGTAGGCGTTTGGAGAAACGTATCAAGGAAATGGCTCTTCAGGTAATATCTTATGGTGTATTGTGTTTTGCTACCAATGGTGCAGAATCATAGGGTACCGCTTCCGAGAAAATGACTTTCGACTGGCTCTATGAAAGTCTCGACAGAGATGCATCTTTTGTGAAATTATGTCTCGCCCAAGCAGCCGACCACAGTAATCGGAAGCTATCAAGCAAATGTTAGGTCGTCTTCGGTCGCTTGCTCTCCAGCAACCATCTCAGTCAGCCGTAGTCATTGTTTCAAGTCGATATCGTTCACCTCTTCGAAAAAATGATCACACTTGACTAGTTGTTCATCAATTACTTCATAGTGTAGTACTCTTAAGAAGTGAACTGGGAAATGGCTTCATGCCATTGTGCGACTACCCGATACTGCTTGAGATATCTGAACGCCTAGTTTTTTATAATGTTTTTGATGCTGATTATTCGTATTGATCATACGTGAAATTGTTCAAATCCATGGGCATTCTTTGTCTACCGTAGATCGAAGAAGAGAAAAGGAGCAGTCAACTGTCCAAAGATTCTTATGAAAAAGCACAGAATTCACTGAAGCGAATTAAACGCGAAATTGAGACGCTTGAAGAAGAGAATGCCCAGTTGAAGACTCAGCGCCGCCGTCTCCAACGCGACTTAGAAGAGGCAGCAGAAGCTAGAAGGATAGCAGAGCGCGACCTTCAAAACCTACGCAAACTGCACCGGTATGTCGTTTTGTTTGACTCGACGGGTTGGGTCTTTTCCACACGCTTTTTATCTTCGTTGTTGTCTGTTTTTGACATCCACAGCAGGGAAATGACGTTAGCTCCTCACTAGTCTGTTGACCAGCCATTAGTTTGTTCTCTCATCGATGGCCTTACTCACAACACCATACAGTTACCAAGGGAAATGAGTTAGCTCCTCACTAGTCTGTTGACCAACCAATAAGTTGTTCTCTCATCGATGGCCTTACTCACAACACCATACAGTTACCATTGAATTTCTCGATTACTTTTTCGTCTCATGCTTCATTGTTAGCGAGCTGTCTTCTAAGCTGTATTTTGGCGCACTAATTTACTTTTTATATACCGACGTCATTGATCACTTTCGCTTTTCTTGTCCACCCTCCATCATCGCTTCAATCGGTGTGGTGTGTATTGTCGCGGTTGACTTTGCTGTTGTGCTTGTTGTTGTAATCATTGTGGATTTCTTTTTCCATCTGTCATCGTCTGTGTCCGCTTTGCGCGCTTTTGCTAGTCCTTCTCGCATGTTTGATTTTACCGCTCCCGACATCCTGTCCGCTTCTCCGAACGGCTCCCACCTGATGGAGGAAGAGTCACAGTCTCATCAGCAGACCGATTAGTTTTACCACGGTTGTCCTCCAGCTCCCTTTATTCCCCTATCGGATGTTCTCGCTGATTCCCCATAAGACGCTTTTCGGCGGTTGGGCTCGCCTTTTGTTACATATGTAAATTGAGTGGGTGGACAACTGATCTGTTCTATTGGCGTGCTCCTACAGTGGATTATACTTGCACATTGTTTCATCCACACTGATGGATCCGCTTTCATCCGCTCTGTTCCCTGATTCACCATATAAGTGAATGTTTACCTGTTATACTGCTGATTGGTTTATGGGTTCACTGGACCGGAGGAGTTCATTCTTGTGCCAACATTTTGACAGTGCTGCCTCTGTTGCGTATTTTTGCCTCCCGCTTTGTTGCAGGTGCAGTTGCGCAAGTATGCTCTGCTTTCGTCTACAATCACAGCTGCTCTCCAGGGTGGATTATTTTATATGGCTCACTTTTTCACACTTCCTCAGTCCCCTTTCGCTTGAGGACACTCTGTCACCCTCATTCCTTCTACAAACTCCTCTCGGGCTTCAGCTACGGCTTGCATTCATCCACAATGAATTCGCACTCCACGTGCTTCCCCTCCGGACCTGTTGTCTATCAGATGTTGATCTAATTTTCAAACTACTGTAACTTTTCCGTTATCTCCAATCTGTTTGTAGGCTGGGGCCGGTTGAAACCGTATGCACCTGTATATGAATTTGATCCCACTCAAGATGTGGTGGTCACAAGCCTCGTTCCTGTGTGGTTAAAAACTACGTTGTTTTTATGCACACATTCAGCTATACTTTTTACTCATCCAGTCCTGCTGATTTTAATTAATCAATGCTCTGAATGGGCCTGTGATGTAGGTCTTGGGTAATTTCCTGCATACTATTTTACTTGTGACTGGGAACCATTCGGCTGTTGATTCATGGTTGATACACCTAGGTTTACCTGGGCGACCGAGTTTCTCTCAGCCATTTCATTTACTTTGACAGCCCAAGATCAAAGCTCTTGCCACCAACTCTGTGCCCGCAAAAAATTTCTCGTTGACCTGTTTGTTTCTGTCCCTAGTAGAAAGCATTCTTGCGTGGGTTGAGCTCAGATTTCCGATTCATTGGAAGACTCATTTTTTCGCAGCCGACCTCACAACCTACGCAGCTTTCAGGAAATTGCACCGGATTTATTAAGTTAGGTTGAGTGTTCCAAACAATCGCGTCGCACACACTGATGGTTGCATCGGTTCGAAGCTTTTACAATGTGTTCATAGACAAATGGGATTTCTCTCCATGAACACTGTATACGTAGCTCCACCAAGTACCTGGATGTCTGATCGACTGACGCGGGTATCGTCTTTTTTCCAGGTTAATGTTTGTTTTCAGTGATAACTTGCCGCATTTGGAATTCTGTTTTCCGTGTTGTCAGACAGTCACGTAAAGTTCCTTGTTTGCATGGTCGCAAGCTAGGGAAGGTTTGATCGCAGCGCAAAATGTCGGCAGATTTTTGCCGGAATCATGGGATGACCTCCGTCAACTTTTGGCGACACTTCGTGATGTGACATTGTGCTGCAGTCACTGGCAAGCTCGCACCGACCAGCCGTTCAGTCCATACTTTTACGTCGTCCATCATTATCAGTCTAACCAACAGCACGAGTCAATTGCCCACAGGCGTGACTCGTCGCTGAAGAGGACGGTGACCGGAGCCCAGTAGATACGAAATCACCAATACTGTCTGACTATGCATACAACTCGAACTCTTGCCGATAACTATATAAAGTTTGTCAGCTACCGTCCGCATATACTGGATGCGTTGTGTTATCTGAATGTTTGGTTCCACGAATGGTGCGCTTCAACTGTCTGGACCTTCTGGTTTCCGAAATTTACATTCAAGACGAATTTCACCGCGATGATAAGGGTCTAATCCAATCCATCATATGGTGGATCTGTGGTTTCAGGACGGTGACCATTGCAGAGCAGCGTTCTTTACAATGCAATCGGAACTCCCAAACTGTGTACAGAGCTCAAGATTGCTCAATGCCTAAAGGGCGAAGTTACGGACTGCAAGGTCTGTGGTTCGAATCCGATCTCTACATCTCGACTGCTTGGGGAACCTGGCATGGCAGCTTTGCATCTGAGAGGTTTTACAGCTGAACAATTTGTTATCATTCAAACTATGTTCTTATGTCACTCACAAGGTGTGAGTGACGCCTATCCTTTCCGTCCTTATTAACCAGGGCGAGTTGATTCAAATAGAACATAAGGTTGACGGAAACTCGGGGACTGCGCCTACCTGATGAGCCCCAAGAAGGGCGAAGAGTTTTCAGCAACCTTGTGAGTAGTTTCCTTTGTGAGTTGGTTCCACTTTTTTATCTGCTGCCGCTGTGGTACTAGTCCCAATAGTGACAGGTCAAAATTTTTTAATGGTTTAATGCTCGTGCAAAGTGGTGACAAACTGACTATTTCAATCACTCGTACCATGTGTAGGGATTTGGGCGATCATACGGCTCCAAGTACCACCATCAGTGATCGTTGATACACTGCTCAGTGCTAGGTTAACCGAATCAGTTGACCTACTGCTTACGAACGCATGGATTGAAGTGCACTTCATGCGCTCCTTACAGCTTCCTTGTGTTCATTTTATGAGAATGAAGTAACAGGTTAGATAACTTGTTTGAATGCTATTGGTAGAATCTCCGCATGAAGGTTGAAGCAACGCGATGCGTAATCGATCAGTAGGCGTACCTTTACGTCGGCGCTTGACAGTTCCGGTCTTTGACGTCAAAAGGATGTGGAATGTATTTTCATTTTTATCGTAGCACAAGACAGTTGAAGCAGTAAGTACAATGACGCATTTAGGCTCATCATCTTCGATTTCTGAAAATCAAACGTTTTTATTCGTCCCATAAATTAGAGGGTGGATCGCAGGAGATTTCCATAGGAACATAGGATCTACTCAGATTATTGCATCGCATTTGCTTACAGTTTGTTAGAATTCACTAGATTTTGGCATTTCACACTGTGTTGGTTGGTTTCATTTTCTCCAAGTAGAGCTGCGATTACTTTATACTTGTTCAGCTGTAACACCCTTTTCCGTGCCTAGCTGTAATGCCATGTGAAAGAAACAGGAGGACTGAGATGCTGTCAAGTTGCCGAAGCCTGGGCAAAGGCATGCGAGTCGCCGGGTTTGGGTTCGAACCATGGACATTGTGGTCAGCAATTTTGCGCCCTAACCACTGAGCCATCTCGAGCTCTTAGTAGAGGTACTCGGCTTATTATCTGAATGTCTACTTTGTCGTCCTTGTCGCTCTAACTCCAGTGTTTGTGTGGGAGCCCAAACAAGAAGTGCAAAATCCATATCATTTTCGGTAAACCTTTCCAATGATGTTTGTTTGTTCGGAATGTACTTCCCCACCACCCCTTCACTGCTCAATCTCAACTTGAGGCTATGCGTATTCTTCACAAGGCGCTGCGTTTGATCAGGTAGTTTCTTGATAGTTCTTGATTAGTAATCGCTTGAAACGTCATCCGTTGCAGTTGGTGCAACACATTAATCGAGTTGGCTGTCCACATCTCTTACGTGAGGGGGGAACTAAACGCATTGAGTTAAACTACATCTACTGCTTTGGTATGAATAGAGTCAGGTGGGACTAAATAAATGATGTCCAGAAACAACTAACGAAATGTTGTCTTCTGTCGCTCTCGTGCAGAAATGTATGCGAGTGCATTTCAGAGGAATCATGCCGCTGACCGTGTGTTGATAAATTCATGATAAAGCCATCTAATACTTTCAGCCACAGCGATGATTGTGTACTCTGGTCGGCCTACCGGACGCCCGACAGCGGCACGTCATCTTCGGGTTTTGAACGATGAAGCTGCAGATGAACTGCTTGCCTCTAATCTCTGTACGGTCGCGCTAGGTCGTTTATGAGCAACCCTGCGCTTCATTTTCGGTTCCACTGTGCGTACGACAGTTCTTTAGAGTCTGTCTAAGTGTGTACCACAGGACTGGTCGTAAGAATATTTCCCATTTCGGATCCTCAGAGTCGCCAAGATTCGAAATCGTAGTTCATCGGTTAACCTCCTCGAATCCTATCCACCCTCATCAGTGCCGCTCAGGGTTATGAAACTTTTGAATGCCACCCCGGCGTAAAGAGGTTCTCGCCCATCAACTAGGGAATAGTGCTCCAATTGTAAGAGGCGAGGACATTCTCATTGATGATACTGGTAATGGTCTGCCTTACGAAGCCTTTGGAAAGCTTGGTATCAAGGTTTGCGTTTCGATTAAATAGCAGAAGCTTGTTTAGCAGCACGATTGTACAGGGTGTGTTGTTTGGAATCTAAAGGGTTGTTGAGTTCATCAACCAAACCGTGTCTCTAACCAAGGGGGTGCTACTGCTCTCCTTTCAAAGCCGCACATTCTAGGCGAGCGTGGTGATCAGGTGTTGAACTTTCAATTGAAATTAGGTCTAACTAGGCTTTGACTTTTCAGGTTTTCTTGCCGCTGGCAAAATTGTTTTATCTCAATAGCTATCAGTCTTCACAATACCAAGCAGTGGGTTTGGAATTTAAACGAAGGCGTTAGAATAAACCTTTCTGATTGGGATCCAGTGACACTAACAACCGTTTAGAGATAACATTCCTTCGGTGCCTAGCTGTCATCCTGCCTTCAGGAGGCGGGCAGCCAGGTTGCCCAAGGCTGGTCGAGCTGCTCAGGTTGGGTTCGGACGACGGACCTTGCGCTCCACTGAGCTATCTGAGCGCCAAGTTGACCTAGAGTGGGATCGTTTGTTCAACAGTTTTATGTTGTACCCTATAGGCTTGCATATCCGTCCGTCGGTTTGTATCGCTGGAGAATTCGAAATAGGTGAGACCTCGTGTAGTTGGACTTCTGGGCGTCTAACCATGTCTCCTATTCATCTTTGACGTGGTGCACACATGGATGCAGCATGTAATTGGGTCGCATCGCCAGCTATTTAGTATCCCCGATCTCTCCTCTCTCTGTACACCTAACAATCGATTTGGCAATGATTGAATGATATTGTTTAATCCACGCATTCCACTAGCTTCGTTTATATCGTCCAACTTCCACGACCACTGTTCTGTCGTGCTTAAATTGATCCCTTTGACAATCGGAGCAATTGTTCACACCCGTTAAAGACAGGGTTAGGTAGCTTCGGCAAAAATACCCGTAAGCATGTCCGTTAATGTCTACGTTTATATAAGGTTGCAGTAACCATCAAGGTTCAATTATTTTCGATTGATCTGGATTAGGTTGTGTAGTCATCTTCTTTTCCCAATTTCTTTCGGGGCTGTTGTGAATTTTGTGGGCTTTGGCCAAAAGTCATCATCATGCTGTCGATGATGATGATGGCCAGGTGTGAGGAAGAATGAATTGTGTTCGACAGTAGGCGAGAGCCACGAGCGTGAAATAGTCTGCAGGCAAAAACGGGTCCAACCTTATTTCCGTATAAACATTTTTACCCCTATTTTCATACGCTATTCCACATTTGAACGTATAAATACGTACATGATCTTCTGTGAACTCGATATCGGTTGTTGCAAACTTTCCCCCAAAATCTTGTTTTCACCTCTGTTACAGCCCGAACACTGGTTCAGGACAGTCTCCTGATTCCACTGACGCGTAAAAGATCTCCATTGATTTTTGCAATGAACACAAAACTGAATAACATTAACTCGTCTTAATTTGCACATCTTAGCCGAAGAACCAACGCCTCTTTGTGTGTGCACGCGCGCCCGTATTTGCTTCCAATTAAATGCTATATTTTTCACTTAACCTCCTGGTTTGAGCCATTCCATCATTTGCCGGGTAGATTCAGGTATCACCTGAACACCAAATCGAACACGGCTGTCGATGGTGCACATTTTTGACCGTTCTAGAATGCTTTACTTCAGCTCATTTTCTGGCTTAGTCGAAATATTCCAATTCCTGAGTTTCAATTTGTTTTGTGATCAATTACGGACGGATTAAAGTTGCTTCAGTGCCTTTTTTCTTGGTCTGCTATCTATTAAAGGTAGTCTTTACGTTTCTGGTCTAGCCGATTTTCTCATCATATCGCTAATTGTTTGTGAACTGCCAATGTGGACGAAGTATCCACAGCTGTCGCTCCTTACAGGAATCAGAGTAGACTCCGTCGGATGAACCTTCTTGGCGGTTCGGTTTTCGTGTTGCTCAACTTTGTGTGTTTCCATAGGCGTAAAGTTAGGACTTGTGCTGCGCAAACCAGAGGTTTCATGTACAAAATAACCCATGAATGGAAATGTTCACTCTTAATTTCATGATGAATCCTATTAGCGGTTGGAGCGCTCGTCGGATGGGGTCCTGCATTCGAACCTATGAATTCTACCATAAACTTTTGTAGGATCTGAAGAGGCAGTCTCTAATTTGATGCAGTCTATAAAAAAATATTAGGTGGGGCCGCCGTGACCTCAATTCCAGTTTTTTTTAAAAGCAATCTTTTGGGTTTATCGTCAAATTAGGTGCTTGACAAACGGGTCTGTTTCCTATGTACGTTCTCGCAGTTGTGTGAGTTTGTATTTCGAAAGCATCCAAATTTTGAGGATTTTTCCATTGATAACGGGTGCGTATGATTTTACTTTCTAGTGCTTCTGCTAGCCAGAAATGTACAAATCGGTGATCGATTTTCATGCACATTCCTAACCGGTAAGACTGCACATCTTAGTGGAATCTGTTTGAACAACAATAGTCACAATCGGTTTTCGCACTCACCCTCTAACCAGCGCACACTCTACAGGCATGCAGTTCCTAGTCCTGCAATTAGGTTTCCCCAGTTGCATACGCGTGACTTCTTACGTGGACCGCGCATTCCATGTTAAATTGTATTTCGACCATTTGTTGCTGGAAGGGGCGACCTGTCCTCGGGAAATGAGTAAGTGCACAATGGTTGTCACTGAAAATCAGTGCCCTACTACTTCCTAGTTGCTTTTTTCCTGAACGTCATGTTATCTGTGGGTTGTTTTAGATCAGCTATCGGTGTGTGCTCTGTCTAATCTCCATTGTGAAGACCACTCAGAGATTTAACACGAACACTTTTGATCCAAATCACAAACTTTTGTCACCATTCGTACTCTACATTGTATTTCATCTAATTCTTGTTTACTGGATCTGCTGCTTCTTTTACGACGATAGAATAGAACGGTTGTGTTACTTCCATCTACTATTGTTTGAAACCACTTCCTGTTCTGTTGTGTTGTGCTGTTTTGTCCTGTGCAACCGGGATATCAAGTCTCTGTACCCTTTATCAGCACTCGTCTACTTACTTTTTTTTCTTCCGACCAGTTTGATGTGCTGTTCTAAAGCAGAAAGAAAACACCTGAAGAACTACGCCTATAGATCCGTAATTCAACCTTAGGTTTCCGCATCAAAGTTGCGTGCAAACCGAAACGTTGGACTTCATACAAGGGTTCGATTTTTCAAGTAGAGGTTGAAATATGCTGTCTGTCTAGGTACCATTATTCTGTCGAATTTGCGTGAATTTCCGTTACGCACTGTCTTTTTTGTCCGAAATTGCGCATGTTTGCAGTACTTGTCCGCTGTCGCGATCGGTCGTTGTACTTGTACAGTATTTGGTTGCCACCATTGGGATGGACTGTGGGTTCAGTTAGGTCGGGACTGTTTCCGATACTGAATTGGTCATTGTTTTACCTTGGTGTGATTTCTATTTCCTCATCTAGCGCTGGCCCGCGGATATCGCGACAGCCTCCAACAATTTTGTCCGTACGCCCGGGAGACGATGGGCTGGGTGACGATAATCACTCCATTGGAGATACGGATTCACTTGGTAGCACCGATATATTGTCCACGGCAACCACGAACAACTCACACTACACAACTGACGATTCAGTTATGAAGTAAAAACAAAAATTTAAAGTATAAGTGCCTTGTTTTTGACTCGGTAACACATGCTCAAGCTCCTGCTGTCGTGCACCAGTATCTATGGCATAGCATAATCGCATGCGCCGATCAGCCCTTCCAGTTTTGCTTCACTCGCCCATACACTGTCGCCCCTGCAGAGAGACCATGGTGGATAACCAGCTCAAGGTGTCGCTCTAATAACGCAATTCAACTCTGATTCATTCCGGCACCTTGATGATGATAGGCATCAAAGTGCCACCGTTCCGGTTTTTTTCTACGTGGATCCCACTTTTCTAGTATGGTTGCCACGCTTTTTTCTAAACATGAAACGAACTTTTACCTTCAAGTCCACCCCTCTTTCATTTCCCCTCTTGTGAGATGGTCACCACCCCATATCTTCACGTTTTCCAGATTAGGCTCGCCTTACGTGAGATATACTACAGCTGCTGATGTACTTTCTTTTTTTACGGACCACTTGGTCAGCTCTGTCCTCAAGTCGACTCCACTGACTTTATTCGAAACTTTTCATTCACATGTACATCCGCTCCGCTCTGAATCTCCCCTTGTCAAACAGTTCATTAGGTTCCCTCAAATACCTACATTTTCTAGCACAGCCTACGCGTTGTGCTGACGCACTCAAGTGTTTCTTTTCACTATGCCGCATAGTTTTATCCGTATTCTCCCATTCCGATCGCGTCTTCTTACCTGACAAGGAAAATACTGAGTTCGTTCTACTATTTGTTATTGCTGTTGATTTGCTGTTCTCACTCCCTTTGCTCTCTCAATTCCGTTGCCCAGGACTACTAGGAGTGGCTTTGCTGTCATTGCTACAACATTTCGCGCCACATCCTCCAGAAATTTCCAAACGGTATCATCAGAGCGCACTTGTGAAGCCTTGAGTCATTTGCTTCAAACTGATTCTGTCCAGTAAACTATACGGATTTAATGATCCATTATTGACTTATTCGGTTTGGGAAAGCAAAATAGATGATAGAGCTAATTTTGCCCGTTCACATTGTGTAACTTGTATGCACTCGTTTACTAAGTGGATTTGATTCGGCTCGTTGACAGCCGTACGTTTCGTCATATGACCTGTGACTCAAATGTTGATTCTTGCCGCCACCCCTGCGGATAGTTCAGAAGTAGACTTAAACAGTAGCTTTAGGAGTTCCTCTTTCTTTGGTACAAACATGTTAAGGACGAATCGTCCTTACCCGAGTTCGGAACCTACTACGATAGTTCTATTCGGGATCATTCGTTGGACAAACACAGAAGCCATGTGCTTCATGGGGTCACAATTTGGTTGAATCATTTGTTGCTAGATTTCGCTTGTTTCCTACTAAAGCACTTCGACCCAATCGGATAGTTCCTCAACAGCGTCAGACTTCTATTCGAGAGCTGATGAATTTCTCTGCAAAGGTCGTTCTGAAAACGGCCGCCTGGGGTCCTTGAAGCGCTAACTAGCTGATGAATCTGCAAAGGTCGTTCTGAAAACGGCCGCCTGGGGTCCTTGAAGCGCTAACTGCACCCCAAAACGTATCTCTAGCTATCGATCGGTGTGAAGTGAGGATTTTGTTAACGACATCTCGCGTGAAGATTGCAGCGAGGCATTGTGTTGTTCTCTGAAGTGGGTTTGTCATAATAAGTCTGATTAACTGATACGATTTGGCCGTCTCCTGAGGTTAAGAAAATAGTTCGTCAAAATACTAGATTCAGTATGGTTTGCAAATCAAAGATTGTCTTACCATTAACCCATGGTTAAAGAAACCCGATAGAATGTCTGGGACAAATTGCTCCACGGAAATCAATGGGCGCACGGCGGTTAAATTTATGTGTGAATAAGATGTTCCTGGATCTGAGTATAAACATCACCTATTTCTATTACTCGGTGCGCAGTCGACCACTGGAGCGGACGCTTATGAGGCTCTGGCCAACCGTTCAAGCTGGAACAAACTGTGTAAGCAGTACAAGAAATAAACATGCATGGGCAGTGAGTCACGTGATAGAACTATGCTCACTAGGCCTGTTTATTTCAACCTATTTTGTTTCCTCGGCTTCCCGTGCTCACCTGACTTTGCGAGGGTAATGTAATATGCTTGTCTGTAAGCCGTGTGATAAAATGTCTGTAATAAACGACGGCCTCATTGGAAGGTAACTGTCGGAGTGTTCAGGCAGGTAAAGCAGAAATGATCAGCATCCTGAAAGGTCCATGTATTGTTAAAATGATTGCGCACAGTGTACCTCGCAAAGGAAATTCAGTGAAGATTGGAAGTTAACTTAGCTATGGTTGAGGTGACTGACACACAATAATTGTTCAGATCCATCCTTCGGTAGTAATTGATTGGGGCCGTAATAGAACCTTGTCTTAGATGGTGGGCTAAGGTGATCATGACGATTAACTTGTTCACTGAGCTAGACGGTTTTGTTACAAACGTTTCGTCACCAGTCAAGGTGATGCAGCCATGTAGTGGTGTGTTGTATTTACGCGGTTCGGCGTTGCCTATAATGCGACGCACCACTTAACTGCGATACCGCAACCCTACCACACAATGATTCCACCTCGATTAGCGACGAGAAATTGGCAACCAAAGTGCCAAGCTCCGTGAACAAGGCAGCCGTCAGCTACTTTCTCTAAGCTAAAACTCCTTCGGCCGTCAGTCAGACGAGGCTACTCACAACCGGTCACCTCAGTAGGTTGTTCACAGCATGGCACCGGGTTTAGTCCCGTGGCGGTCGTCAACTCGGCTGTTTTTGGTCGTTATCGTCGGTGTTAGGAACCGTCAGCAAAGTCTCAGGAATATTTGAGACCTATTCTATGCTGAACGGTAATGAACAACTGTACCGCTGTTCCATCTCCACTGGAACTCACCGGCAAATGCTCCTCACGGATCACTCCCGCGAACTTCTTGTCAGTAGACACGGCCACGAATCTTTGATCAGCTGTGTGCTTAACGGACAATCAGATATCACTTGCCGACGTTACTCTCCAGCCACAATGTGTGAGGCTTGTGATTGAAGGATACTGTCCAACTATCCTCCAAGCAATCATAAATGACGCACCCACTTTTTGAAGTTACTTGTAAGCAGTTGCTTTGGGAACACCTGTATCGCTGCGCCGACCCTAAATCTGCGCGCTGTTACCTCCGGATATAAGCTGTCGATACCTGAGGGCTTTGAAGTCAAATAGTCCGCTACATTACTGGTTCCTTGCACCTGGTGCTCCCACCTTAACGTGTATCTGCATTTTTTCCTATCACATTTTTTTGGTCAAAAACAAACAGATTTATGATGCCAACTTGGGAGTTCAGAATGCGCACACTAGGTGAGTCGAAGATATTCACACAGCTAAAATGTCAGCACGTTGCTGTAGTAAATTTGAAACCAGTGGATAGTGAAGTTATACATGCTCATGCTCAAACGAGGAGTCTTTTGTCAATTGTCTGGCCATCCTTTGGCGGCGCGAATCTCAGTCTAGAGAGGGCACCGTCACAACTGTAGATGCCACCGTGGTTACCAACCGAGTGGTGGTTTCTGAAGGCGTTAGTTACATCCTGATTTCTAACTTCCACGACCGAAAATATTGTCGAATCTGTAACTACTTCAGGGCAAAGTTGTCCACAGAATCCGTGACGAATGTGCCTTCCGTTAACAGTGTACCGAAGCAAGGCAGACTTAAAGCTGACCTGGTGTGATGTGCATCGTCTTGGTTTGTTTGCCTATCTTGGATACCAAAAGTTGATTGAGTAGGAGGGTTGATCGTTAACGTCTATTGTTTGCATGTACAAACCACGTGATCTAACTAATGAGATTCACTTTTCAGGACGGGACTTCCAAATTAGTGTTCGTTCTTTGGTGGCGCAGCACCGTTTCTGTCAAGCCGCTGAGGACTAATACATAAATTCATGGCCTGTGGTTATAGGTTGGTTACTATCAAAACTTGATCATGTGCATCGAAGCTACACGAGTCGGATGCTCACATGCTTTGAGTCGCACACCGCTCAACAAACTCTTCGAATGTGAACGCCATATAGCTAGAAGAGAAACAGTCGGTAAATTCAGCAGCAAATTCAGTATCCGTATGACGAGTTTTTTTAATCGGGCAAACCGCAAATGAATTAGATCCGTTTGAGATTGCCTGGTTGCATTTGTATTTGACAGCCGTAGCGAGGGGCAACTTGGTAAATTTTAGACAATAAGCCTTTTACTGAGCAGGCATTTTATTTCTTTTACTTGAATTTAGCTAAAAACTTTAGGCATCAAACTGTATCAGGCGCTTTAAATGCTTTGCTGGACCAAAGGCAGCTGGACTGCATTACGACCTACGTTCATGATACTTCGTTACAATAGCAGAAGTTCGCGAATCTCCCACTTCATTCCGGTAGCGAACAAGATGCCGGCTTCCAAACGCACTCGATTGCAAACTGATTTCGTTTTCAGAGGAGATTCAGCCGAATACCCCGTTTATGATGTTCTTCAAATGAATATGCTGCGCTTGGGCGGTGTCATGTTTCGGTTGGTGCGATATTCGAAGTTTCGCACTATATGTTATTAAAGGGGACTACACCTAACTTATGACGTTTGAAAAAACGAAACTTGTTATGGCATTTCGAAGATTCTTCCAACAACCCTTCTTCAAGGCATTTATCTATCAACTCTCTCCGGTTCCCCGGAAGGAAGGAAGTTAACATGAAACGGGCAGTGAAATTTCTAAATCCGCAGCTTTGAATAGATCCAATTCTTATTTTATTCAACCCATCATTACGGCTGTGGAAGACAGATTGTGATCTACGGTTCGCTTGACAGAACACAACTCAAGGCTGCTGAAAACTCTTCACGAACAATCATATTAGCGGTGTTCTGTCAGGAAAATATACCGCAATATCTCGTATCAAATATTCGCTTGGCAGAACACAACTCAAGGTTGCTGAAAACTCTTCACGAACAATCATGTTAGCGGTGCTCTGTCAAGAAAATATACCGCAATATCTCGTATCAAATGAAACATGAGGTGCTATCGAACAATGTCATAAACGAGAGATTCATCTGGAATTCAGTTGAGCCTCCTTGAAACCAAATTGGTTTCCAAATGCATGTATTTAGTAAACCTACAGTCCCGTTTCTTTGTGTTCGGTTTGGCGAGCTGCTCAGTAGTTTCTGCTATTCGTCTGAGCCATCTATAAATGAAGGGTGTAAATAACTAAATGGACACCGCCGAGTCTCTCCACAGCTTGTACGTCAAATGAATCCTGATGTTCAAACAAACTAGCCGAATTCTCGAATCACGAATCCAACCAGAGGGACTAGTGCGTCGTTTGTGCCTTTGTGAGGATTTTCTTTATATCCCACTTGGTTGTGTGCATTGTGAAAGCACGAACAGGTATACAGGAAACTCAGTCGAAACTTGCTTAACACAGCATTCAGCTAAAGTCTGAGCCCCCCAATATGCATATACAGACTAGCCTAGGGCGGTTTTCGAACTGAGGTTTCATGAGTTCTTCATCAGAACATGAAACCAGGGTCTCTAGTTAGCAAACGAGTGTTAATGTGTCTGCTGTCTCACGCCAAAACCGCAGCCTTAAATCGGTTGAAACCAACTTTTTGGAAATACTGGAAGTCAAGTGAGGAGCTCACCACTAGCACTGACAGATGTTATACTTAATCATAGACTATACACCACACTGTTTAGCTTTCGTCTTAGGTTCGTCTGTAAAGTGCTCGTCTGACAAGCAAAAAGTCAGAAGTTTGTGTCTCATTTAAGCGTTTGAATCCTTCGGTTCGTATTATACGTAGTTAAATTCCCACTAAAAATAAGGTAAAGAGCCAAAATGAAAAAAACTTCCTGTTCTACCTTAAAAGGTTGCAAAACATCTTCCGGTACGCTCGCAGACAAACGCGCCGTGACAATCACCGATGAGTTGTAGTGACTCAAGCCATCTAACGATTCTAATGAATATTCCCTCGCCATAACCTCAGCCCTACGCGCAATCGGTTGTGATGTCGACTTTTTGGTCTACCAACCGATGGTCATCTCTTATCGAGGGACCTGCTTTCCTCAATCCGCCAAAGCTGTTATTGGACTGGGACTTCCTAAGGTCACAGTCAGTGACTTGTATTAGTTTGTCATTGCGGGCTCTCTGCGTACTTACGACACTTATGCGTGGTACTCAACGTTGAGTGTACATTTGTTGCCGTTTAGTCTCACACCAGACCCAGTGTGACGGACACTTTTTTCCTGATGTGTGAGTCTTGAGTGTGCTTGGAGAGCATTCAGCATTGTCCTTTTGGTTGTTGGTCATTACACGCGTGGTTCCATACCGAAAATTCTTACACGCTGGGATTTATCTTGTCTGCCTGGAACTGTTGGTGACATGACTTTGATTGAGATGTTTCTCTCTTTTATCACCTCCACTTTGATCCCTTGCATCCACTTTTCATATGTGGCCATGCTCTTCAAAAATAAACGATAATATCCACCATCCTTGATATTCATCGGAAGCCGCCGAAAACTAGCGCTTTTGCTCTCAGCGACCAACACAAAATTAGGTGGTAACCTTCGAGAACGACTACTGTTCTTAATTTTTATGAAAACTTCCAGGTCACCCATTAGCGATTTTGCCGTATTCGTAGCTCTTGCTCTTATTTCTGGCTTGGACACCAGAATGGATAGATGTGAAACCGTGCGTTTGTTCGGAAACTAAGCTAGCGTTTAAATGAAATTCAAGTGATTCCCATTAAATGAATTTTGAAGGATGCCATAAACGGGAAGTTCATTTTGGCTTTACTTAACTCGTGTCTTAGTTTGTATCCAAAACTACATGGAACAAAGCGGAATTCCTGTAGTTTTCTTTTTTGAGTAGCAAAATTTTGGAAGTAACCGAAAATGGGGGACATACCTCTACACTTCAAGATTCAGCATTTAGAATATTTCCACGGGATTCGCAATTCGTGAAGAACGAAATTTGATCGCGGTAGTATGATACGATCATCGCCACCAGATTGGCTTCTTACCAACCGAAAATCACTAACTTTTGTGTTTGGAAGACACCTATTCAACTTGAAATTGACTGGAAACCGAAAACGATCGATTCTCTTACAAAAGGTCAGTTGTATAAAGTGTTCCATCATTGTGTTCCCTATAAGAGTTCTCAACGAACATAAAGTGCTTATCCTTGAATGGCATCCATTGTTACCAAGCAAACTCTAAAGCAGTGGCCACGGCACAGTAGTTTGCGGCATCCATCTATCTGGCCGCTGTTGGTGCATAGATAAATCCTCTTTCGAGAAGCTCTTCTGCTGTTGCATTGGTGTCAGGTAGTCTTTACTTTAATCGTCACCACAGAAGCTTTCTCAATTCTTTGTATACAATTCTTCGTGACCTGAAGTATACGTTCCGGAGGACATAAAGGCGAGTTGTATTGGTGTGATGGCACTCTTTTGGGCATCCTGGTTGAGTTGGGACAAATGGGTACGTAGAATTCCTAGCAAGTCTAATGGCCAGCGCCCTATGCAACAACGTCATACCAGAAAGTCCCGTCCTCATAACATCATCTGTTTTCGAGCAATGATGTGATTGCCTAAATAAATAATTAGACGTAGTAGTAATGAAATGCCAGACGGATGTTGTACTGTGAAATGTGCTAGAAAATTGCCGCTCTTCTAACCACCGGTATTTAATGCGTGATCGTCTATGTCTGTCCGGGAAAGGCTCATATACTGAACTTGTTCCAATGTTCATTGCACCAAAGGATCATCGGTCTTGGGCTAACATGGCTCAAAGCAATGCTGAAGAGTCGAACGAAGTCTGGATTGCACGTAACACTTTTCACGAAATTTATGCACAGTTAGAATTTTTTTCATCAGATAAAGTGGCTTTGTCTTCTGCGTGGTTATCGCACCCAGGCTACTGTAATCGTTTAGGAGGAAATCGGAAGAAGACGCGAGAGCTATGATACTGTCAGGCTGCCCAAGTGTAGAAAAGGGCAGTCGAGATGCTGAGGTTTGGTTGGAATCACGGACCTTCCGTTCCATAAGCTGCCGCCTTAACCACTGAGCCATCTCGAGCCCATTTAGGCTGTACTCTCAAGCTTTCGGGTGTTATTTTATGCATTTCAATGATTACCAACAGTCTGAATATTACGGGTTTCAACAAGGTTAGCGAGTTTCAGACAATGTGTGTGAGAGGTTTCACTTCAAGTGAGACGATGTAATCGCTTTTGGTCCTGTGGTCCCCGCACAGACCTCATTCTTTATGTGAAAGGTTTCACTTCTAGTGAGACGGTGTAATCGTTTTAGGTTTCCAGTAAATAACCTGTGGTCCCCGCACAGACCTCATTCTTTTCAATCAATAAGCGTCCAGTTTGCTTTTGAACATGTGCGTGACCACACGATTATGGTGCCATCAGTTCAAATTCTCCTACGGTTCTATACTTTTTAGGAAGCGGAAGTTGGGCAGGAGTTTTTTTTCCGTGATACTCATTTAACTGTCAAGTTTCACTGAAATCAATCCTAGAAACAGTTTGCTCATGTGGCCTGGTATTAGTTCACCAATGAGATTTAGTACATCGCCCACTTCAGAGGCATATCGGTATTCACCAAAGTACAAATTAGGGCAAATGATGGATCGTTCATCATACCAATGTAGTAGTCATCCCTTGGCTGACAGACACCAGCTAAAAGGTCAGTTATTTCCAGTTATGTTGCTGTCCTGTTGAAAACCACCCAATTTCAGCGACCAATGTAGTTGTGGCGGTTGTCAAGCAAGGGTGATCTGCCTGGCTGTCTTGGTTGATTCATCAGTTCTAAGACGCACCAGACACCACTACAATCAAGCAAGCAACTAAGCATGGTCAATGATCCATATGGGTAGAGATAAGTGTAGAAGTCTGAAATGGGTACTGGCAATCACCGTCGGATCGCAATGCAATACCGTGCGCACACTGAACGAACGCATGCGCAAGAACGAGCTTGGAATTTAGACTTGGTACGCACATGCGTGTTCGATGGCCCCCACACGCACACAAAGCAAAGAAACCGTTGGAAATGACACTACGCACAGGCATGATGCGTAATCGCACCCAACAACATATGTCAGAACGCAGGTCTGTGTGCGATTGGTCATTAACTAGAATGGCCGCACCTCATAACGATCAGTTGAACATCGGAGAAACGGAATCAATGTAGTCAGGTTCTAAGTGCACTTCAAGATAATACTAATAATAACAGTAATAGTAGTAGTGGTGAGGTTATTCAATTATCTCGCCGACTGGAATCCTTGCATTCTTTCCAGGCATAATGTTGTTTTGGTCGATAATGTGAGTGACTCGCAGACGAAAGAATTTCTCCATTCAACGTGTAACGTAAATCAGATCACACATTTAATCCAATGGGTGGTCCGAGGATGAGTTTACCTTACCGAACAAACCGATAACTTCACAGTGGACTGTAACCGTGCGCTTTCGTTTGTTCAGGCCACTACCAGTTCAGTGGGAAATATTCGATTGCCTCCTCAGTTAATATCTGAGACGAGTTTGGTTTGGGTCAGTGATTAAAGCGCTCTGTCTGGTGCTGTGTTTAAATTGTGCTTCTTAACGCTTCCGTAAACCGGTGAGTGAGAGAACTGACACCAAAAATGAAGGGAAAAAATTCCAAAGTTGACACGTTCGTAGTGAGCAGAATTTCCTTCGGCAGTTCCAGCTGTTGAGCTGAGAGCTAGCCTTCGATGATGAAGTAGGAGAAGATTACTCCAGGATCCTGCGGTGAGGGTAGTTTTAGTTATTCAGGATTTGATAAGCAAAACCCAGGATGCCCTATATTCACTGATACTGGTTCTGTGGTGGCTTCAAAGCAGAATTTCGCGTTTTGATATGTTGCATTCTTTCACTCACCAGCGGCTACTCAAAAGCACCATCAATATCTATCCCGGGATTATTTTTCGGAGATGCGACTTCTCTCCAAACTTTTAGAATTTGACAAATAATCGAGGTTTTGAGGCTAGATGGTGACCAGGCCTTTCACTGAAGCTGAAACTGGACAGTGATCAAAGGCCGATTCCTGTGGTAAGTACTCCTTGGATGTAGACGTGGCTCTTCTCTACTCTCAAAATACAGCACCAGAATTATTCATCAGACTGTGCTGGTAGAAATGAGTCAGAATTTTTGATGGTGATCTTATAACTCTGGAAGAACTGTTCAGCTGCATGATGAGCTTTACTTAATTCAATAGTCACGAAATATCACGTGACAATTGGGCGGTCCGAAACAGTGGACCAGGCTTCTAGTACAGTCTCCGTTGTCACCTCCGGTCAACTTGATTTAGTTAGAGGTGGAATGCTATACATTACTCCATGTCATCCGTTAACATACCGAAATAACAGCTTGCAGTTTTTGAAAAATAGCTCTATTAGTCTCTTTGTACCTGCTGAGGACGTCTTTTCGACCAGTTTCATAAAGGAGTGATGTAGCCTTCAAACTACATACGGCACAATGAGAACCGTTCTCAAAATACCGGTGTGCCTACCACTGCTGTTCACGGGGAAGGACTATGCCCTGCTAACAACCAATAATCCTGTTGGTCGCATCCAAGTTGACTTACCACTTTGCCTGTATCCGTGTGGCTAGATACATCGGTAAAAGCGTAAGTCACTTGGAGTCAAGCGTAGTCTGTGTGCAGCCAAATAGAGCGCTTGCGTTTGCTCTAACACGAGACTTCAGATCTTAATGAGCTAAATGGAAAAATCTAGTCCAAACGTTGGAAGTAGGCCCAGTTCGACCCCGTCCGATGGGTTAGGTTTGGGTCTGCGGGGTGCTTCTAGATGCAGACTGTTAATTGACAAAGAGAGGTTGTAGTGGATCAGACTGAATCAGTGAGAATGATGGCACGCAGAATGCCTCCTAAAATTAGCAGTCCCAGATACTGGATACTAGATTTTTTGGTGTCCCTTTTCTGCTGAGTAGTTTATGGTTCGCCATCATACACTTTCACACACATCGGATGAAACCCTGTGGCGCAATGTAACATCCCACGAACTTCTCGAATTCTCTCTAGCAGGTGTTCAACTCACAGTCTGTAACATCACTGAGAAATCCCCATTTTCTGGAAGCATGATTTCTGAAAGTTTGGTTTACTTTATCATGATTGTGGGCACATCGAAGAGCGAAACAGGTTATGAGTTCACAGCGATTTAAATGGAGCGGTTTCTAGTGCATTTCTGAAAACGGTTTTGGAGATATTCCACTAAATTTTCAGGGCCATAACTATGGGTCTGTCGGTGGCCGAGGTGAACGCAGCTGTTGGTTAAACTTACCGAGCAGTGCTAGGACTTTAAACCGGAATAATTCGGTCGCCTGAGTAGTATGCAGAGGAATGTTCAAAAGGCAGAGAAGACACCACTGATGTTGAGGACCCCGATTAGTTAAACGAACACACTGTGGTGATTTGGACTGGCAGATGGAAAAGTGAAACGGTAATACACCCCGTATATTCAGATCTTAAAAAAGTATCAGTCGAATGGAAAAGATGATCGAGTTTTCAAAAACCGCCTGGTTATTTGGCAGTTCGTGCAGATAGGGGCTACCAAACGCATTCACTTCGAATCCTACACAGATGTGCTGAGCTGTCTTTTTTCGCTGCCTTTTTGTGCGGGGGAAGTTTATCTCGTGAAACGTTTATCGGCTGGCCATGTCAGTTCATACCAGTCGCTGCTCTGCATGCGCACACGCGAGATTCTGTTGATATGTAGGTTTCGTCGAATGATCGATGCACCGAGCTTCTGCCTAGTTCGGTGTATGCCTTGTAGGTGCGTGCTTACTCACATGGGTTGACTAACATGCGCCAGCACAAATACAGAAATTACCATATCCTGATGTGCTAGAGGGCCGTTTCTTATCTCAGAAGGTCCCATGTGGTAAAACAAAAAAGCCAAACTGAGCATAAACCCTACCTATGATAGGTGACGAAATCGATTACTTTTCTCTCCTTTATTTCCTTTGAGTTGTTTTTCATATAATTTTTCTCCAGCCTTCCGAAACTGAAATTCGCTGTAGCTCTTCATACGTAGGCATAAGGTCAGTAGCTAATTGGTTAAACGTGCCCAGGTGAGCTCTTTTCAACGGTGGTAGTACCTGCATCAATTATCAAGAAATTCTCTCAGGAAATAGACTGTTACTGTTCGGTTAAATGGATGTGNTCAGACTGACACTGTCCTTGGCATGATTTCGAATGGGACGTTTCTCTCTTTTCTCCCATATTCTCCTGTTACTCTTTCGCATTCATCGCTTGCACTCACTTTTTGTTTGTGACCATGCTCTTCAAAAATAAATGATAATAGCAGTGAAATTCTCTCAGGAAATCGACTGTTACTGTTCGGTTAAATGGATGTGTGTTCTCTTGGACTTTCGAGTATAGAGAGAAAGAGCTTGCAATGCGCCGCCGAGCTCATCAAGGCCCCACTTTGGATATGTAGGTGTGCTCCCGTCTCTGTGGAAGATTTACGGTGCCTGTTGTTTTGGTTTGTGTGTGTGTGTACGTGGCTGTGTGTGATCAGAGTTACGCGGCAGACTAGCATAAACCATTGTTGAAAATCATCAGAATCTCCTTGTCTGACAAAGATGAGAAAATCAGTGAGCATAGTTGGGCATGAGTATAGGGGGATTTAGGAAATTTACATGCTGAGTTGTTCCCCTGAGATCTAGTCCTATTGTCCTCAGCCCTCATTCTCCAGTATTCCTCTTCTGTAACCTTGCGGAGATCTTGATTTTGCTATAAGTTCTTATTGATTTGGTTTGCTAGTTGCTTGCTTTGGTCACGTTCTAAGCGGCGGTACGTAGTTGTATCGTTAATTAGTGCCTTTGCCTTATTGATGTAATCCGGTTTGTCCATGATCACCGTTAAGCCTCCCTTGTCTGCCGGTAGAATCACGATGTTTTCATCCTTCTTTGACTTGTCCATTGCTTCTTTTTCTTTACCGGAAAGCATGTTGAGTGGTTTGTTGCGTGTGATGGCTGGGACGACAGTTTGACGAAGAAGAACAATAGGAAATTTGCATTCTAAACACTCGTCGGCCTTGACTTGGATGCGCCGTTGAGCTACCGTATCAGGTGATGCTGATATAATTACAGTCTTCCTAGGAGGTCTGTTGTTCCTTCCACAGTGGTGTTTATTAGTTGCGTGATAAGAAGCTGTTCATCACATGAAATATCCTTCTTTCGGTGGCTTCATACAAGAGACTAGTCCACTTTGCCACTAGATCCAGTGGTTTGTTCTATTGCTATCTGATGTGGCGAATTGATTTTGCGGTCGGACGAGTGGAATTCCAGTTGCGCTCAACATAGTGCTGTGTCTGCCTGTCTACCTAATCATGCAGAAATAAGTTTTTTGCCGGTATTCCCGACTTGAGCTTCGTGCTTCAAAAGTTTAGGAATTGCAACCAATATGGTGGCTACCTGAATGTGAATTTCGGTTGGTAAAATCACAGCCACGGCGGTGGTGGTATCGCGACTGCTTTGATTCAGTGCATTCTGAGATTCCTGGTTTCCAGAAAGGTTGCTGAAATGCATCCTGTTTGGGGCCCATGTTATGCTGCAGTCAGGCAGATCGAAGTACGGTCATACTGTACTACATCCATAAATTTTGGCAGTTTCATTTAAACTTAGAGGAGAAAGGAGAGACGAATACTATTCACTATTGAAATTGCTGAAATATGACTTTTCTTAATATTAGCAAGGTAAGTAGCACGAAAGACGCTTTACGTTTCATGTAACTTCACTTCCGAGAAAAGCCAAATTTTATTATCAAAAGAGAACAATGATTGAACGAAGTGAACTTTTTGATACGACATTCTGTCTGGGAAGGGGATGACTATAACACCATAATATTTTGACAAAAAACTGCTGATGAAAAGTTCTATCAGCGAGTGATTAGTCAGCAGGTGTTTCGAGAGTAACTAATTTCTACAGAGTGCGTTTATCGATCTTTGTGTGTTGACCTATCTCTTTCGCCACGTGAACACGCTAGTCAAATCGGTAACAAAAACTATGATTGATGGTATGTAAAGTCTCTGACCATTCTAAAGTACGGTGGAGCTTAGAATATATCATTCTAGGTGCCGCCAACATGGCACAATGAAGTGCTAACGAGAAGTAAACGATAGTGTGTCAAATTCATTCTATATAAAAATGGGTTTATTATCAACTAGCGATCAGCTGATAGTTATCTTAGTTTCCCGCTACCGTGAAGTTGATTTACAAATGAGTGTATCCCTCCGCTGTTATACAGATTGCTGTTCAAGTAAGGAATAGGATTGATGGATACTTGCTGGTTGCGCCTAACTGATGAGTCCCAAGAAGGGTGAAACCGGCACTGAGCCGCTGAAGAAGCACTTTGAGTAGTGTCTTTTCATCGTCACATTAGTTTGGATTACTGTTATAGTGTCGTTAGGGGGACACAAAGTGAAGGCCATAGTGCCTGTCAGTAGTGGTTGGATCGCTGGACACATGCTCAATTATAATCACAAGAAAGCTTTGCCCGTAGAAGAATGTGCTGCTGGGAATGACTGTGACTCCGACGTAGAATATACGGATAAGCCAACTCATACAGGCCTATTGGCTTCCATCATTTAGTTCAAATGTGATAGTATTATAATGAGCACCAGCTTGGCATTAGACGATGAGATAATGCCTCATCCGTCAATTCCTTTAGGTCTGAGTGTAATACAGCACTCGAGTGACACAACAACATACAGATACATCCAGAAGAGATATTCCGGCCATCACGTATATCCAAATGGTAAAGGTTCAGTTGGGAAATAGTTTGATTTGTTAAGAACTGCAAGAATGTACTTCAGCTTACAGGCCGACGCCCCGCGAGTAACAAGTACCAGAGCGCGGGCATCCTACAAGTTTGAACTTTCTCATGCACACGAGTACACTGTTTGAACAGCTTCATAAGTCTGCCGACTTTAGCTTTGACACGTTCACTGCAATTATGTCGTTTGTGTACGAGTATTGAGGCACTCCGTTTCTTGAAATGTACTTAAACAATGAGTAAGGTCATTCGTCAGGCGCATCTGCTCAACTCCAGGTTGCCCCATCACTTAAAATCAAAAGTAATTATTTTTGAGCTAACAAATAGCCTGTCTCTGTGACAGTTTCTGCGTTTTCCGCCTCACAGACCAGTCTTTGTAGTTTCATACAGAAGTTGCTTGGGAATGCGATCCGATGCCATGCGATCCACATGGCCGAATCAGCGCAGCTAGCTTTGATACAAAATGCTCTCTTGTCTAAATATTTGGGGTCCAGTTTGACTGTTTATGCGTAAACAATACAGATGAAATCAATCGAGGATTAGAATAACACGCCGTTTACGTTTCAATGCCCTATGAAACTCTGGACAGTGCGACAGATACGTACGCCACGGTTTCTGTTGTCACATATAGATCATAATACTTTCGAACGCGACGTCTGATTCTTTGGCCATCAGCTCGTCAAGGATATGTTTGCCGCCGGGTAGCACGCAATCCACATATCATTCACTTTTATGTTCAAGAAATCTTATCTCACAGTAGCTTGTCGGCAGAAAACAAACGCTTTGCAGACATAAATATCTGAGCCAAAATGTAGCACTTCAGAAGCGAATGAGTCCGACTCGATTAAGAATGCGCTAATTATAGAAGAAAATCCTAAAAGACCGATATATGAATAACAGATTCTTCAAGGATCACTTGTAGTGATCATTCCAAATTAAGCAACTGACCACACAGATCATAGTGAATAGGCACAATGCCTTTGGAATGGCGGGACGCTTTCGAGTGTATCGCCAACCTAAATAGCGTTTGCACCATAACTCTACCTTTTTGAATCCGGCTATCAATGGTGAAATAGGCAGTCTCGGTCCAACACGTCCGAACGTTTGTCTGCATCCCCAGGGTGAGAAGGCCTGACAAGATTGGAGCAGTATTTGAGCAGTCGGTTTTCATAGGACAGTTCATAGTGTTTCTCCGTCTTTGAAAGGCTTTTCTGAAGTCAACGAGCAGGACAAAGTGGTTGGTGATGGCTTAAAATTTCTTGCTGTACTAAGATAGTTGAAAATAGTAAATCGGTGGCGCCCCGTCCATTGCGGAAATCACACTGTTCCATTTGAACAATTTCGTCCAAACCGTCCACTTTCAAGTGACTTACCAGAATACGAGCCAAGAATATGAAACAGACCTGTTCCATGGTAAATCAAATTCTGTCGGCTTTCTGTCCACCAGAATGAGGGCAACATGATGACATCATTTTTTCCTGTAAAATATCAACGGCTTCCTAGAATGGAGAAGTTAGAGGTTGCAGTGCTTAAGCACCAGTTCTGGGTCCACCAGAATGAGGGCAACATGATGACACCATGTTTTCCTGTAAACTGTCAACGGCTTCCTATAATGGAGAAGTTGGAGGTTGCAGTGCTTAAGCACCAGTTCTGAACAGTTTCCGAAATGATTCGCCGTTTCTCGAGGACTTGTCCGTTTTCGTTTGCGAAGGCGCTGTATTGTAGTTCTGCAAACGCTGCAGAATCGTCCTTATGGTTCCCATCTCAACTTTGATGCGTTTAGTTCAGTCGATTCCATTCGATCCCCTTCGTAACTAGTATTTTTCGTATTACAACGAGGAATTTCAAAATTCGTAAACATCACGTCTGGTGGATGGCATTTGGTTCATCCACTGAGCTTCATTAGTGAATCGAACTGTCAGCCGAGAAGGAATATGCATTAGAATTTAGCACATTACTGCAGTTTTGTTCTTTTTTTCTCTCAGATAATTTTGGTCATTAGTGTGCTCACGTCCTCAACTACCAAAACAATTTCCGCAGTCCACCTCAAAATCTGTTCTTATGCAGAAGTGGACACAGGGAACTCATCCACACGGATCG